CCTTATTCTTACAGGCTTCATGCTACCCCCTTTTTAACCTCCCTGGTGCTTCAGTCTCACTTCAGCTGAGCCCAGCTATTTCTGCCAAAGGGCAGTGGGAAGGCATAAGGGTCTACTCACCATTTGTCCAGGAGCTCCGTTCTCACCAGGGCTACCAGGCTCACCCTACAGGAAGGACAAAGCTGGAGTCAGTGTCTGATTTCCATAGGGAAAGGAGAAAAGGACCGCTCTGAGGAAACACAGAGGGTCAACATGCCCCCTAGAGATGTAATCTTACCTTGGGGCCAGATGGACCAGCATCACCCTTAGCACCATCCAGACCGCTGAAACCCTGGAGTGAAGGAAAGAGAAATATGTAAGTACCTAGGAAACAAGGCCAGGAGGAAGCAGCCTCCTTCCCTGTTGAAGTATAGCTGAAAACAGTCAGGCTTTGTCACAGCGTTTTGAGGTCATTCTTCAGGGGTGTGAAAGCTTCCTTTGTCAGCCAATCTGTGGCATGAGGAAGGGGTTTTCCTCCAAGAGACTGTGAGGGCCTGTAGCTGGTGATGCAGCTCTTGTGGTTGCCCAGGGTTCTCTGTGGCAAATCTCTCATGGACTGCCCTTGGAGGGTGTCAGCGGAAGGCATTATGATGCCAATTCAGATCCTCCTTGTTTTCCTTTGTGCCCAGAGGTCCATGCAAAGCATGCATGATCAGATAACAACATTGGCAGCCTTTGGAAGTTCTCCTTGATTTAAAGAGGAGTAACTAGGGATCAACTTACTCTGTGACCCTTCATGCCTGGCAGGCCAGCAGTTCCGGGCAGACCACGTGCACCCTGGGGAAGAGAAAAAAAAAACCCCAAGTGAGAGGCATATTCAGAAAGAAGGACACTAATTCCTCCATGACATATCCCAGTTAAGATGTGGCAGCTGGGAACTCAGCCCAGTGGATTGTTGGGGTGCCAAGAGGCAAAACCATACCCTACTGTGATTTTAACTCCTAGTTGTTGGCAGTGGTCAACCTGGCCTAACCAGTGCCAGCACGGGCTAGACTCAACTCCCTTCCCCAGTCAGCAGCTACCATATGAAGCAAGCTAGCACCACGTACAGTTAACCAAGAGGTTTCTAGAACCCCCTGACCACTTGCACCCAACCAGCCCATTCCCAAGCACCTCACAACGTTGCTACTGAAGGGGCAATTCCATCATGTCACTAATGTAGCAAAGAACCAGAAGAGAGAAGAGGTGTCTCACCTGGGGGCCAGGAGGGCCGCGCTCACCGGGACGGCCGGGCTTTCCAGCTTCACCCTGGGAGAAGGAAGAAAAGAAGAACAATCAGCTGAAGCCACATCCATAAGCCCATGACTCATTTACAATGAAAACTATCTAACCAGTAAACACTCCAGAGAAGGGTACTCAGTTCCTTACAAAAACCTCTCTGGACAGAGACCCCATTTTCTTTTCCCTCTATGTTTCAAGGCAACCATGGAAGCTAAAGCCTCAGCTGCCTCACTTGTGCACGTAAAGCCTTGGTATCACCAGGGTGCAGCCAGATACTAATATCTGCCCAACAAACAGGACAATTCACCACATCCCAGCACCTTCTGTATAAGGACTTTTGATCTTAAAGGTTGCTTACATCATCTCCGTTTTTGCCAGGGGGGCCGGCTGGACCACGGGGACCCATTGGACCCTAGGAGAGGGAGAAGACACACGTGTTAATGTTCTGAAAGCAGAAGAGACTCCCTCATGGCCAAACCTCCCGTAACTATCCCTCCTGCAAGGCTATTGCAAGACTGGCTATCCGGTTGGATATAAAAATCCAGTCTCTCTCATGCCTTGCCAGATGCAGCAGCTTGCTTTATCCAAGTGTCCCCCCAGTGGTGGAAGTGGGAATGGCAAGGATGAATACCAGGCTGGGGCTTGGAAAATCAGTATTCAGCCCAGCACAGTAACATGTGAGGAGCAAGGAGATGACGATCCATGACTTACTGAAGCACCAGGCTCTCCAGGCTCTCCAGGAGGACCTTGGAAACCTTGAGGACCCTGGAGGATTAAAAAAGAAGAAAATCAGCTAGGGAATGAGCTGAATTGAACTCACATAACTCAGGAAAAGCCCTCAGTGCTATAAGCAGAGCCTCCAGCCTGGGGAGGAGACATGAACCTCCATTATATTCCCCAGGCAAGGTGTTGGTTGCTTACCGACACCCATAATGAGAGAAAGAAGGTTGGAAAGGCCAATCCCTCCCCCAGTTCATCCTCCCAGCTCCCGTTGTCCCTCCTCCTCTGGGAAGGTCTCATGAAGCTGAGGTGCCAGTAGGGCCACTCTCATTCCCAGAGGAGCTGGGCACAATGCATCCATCAAAGTTTTCTTGAAAGAGGTACTTACAGGAGAACCAGGGGGGCCGGGGAGACCACGGGGGCCAGCTGGACCCTAGAAATGAAGAAGAGAAAATACAGATCACCCAGGTGAAGAGATGAGATGGAGAAGCCTCTTTGTTACCTGTGCCTCCAGCTCGACTTTCAGTGATTCCCTCTCCTTTCCCACCCCTTCCTCTGCCCACCCCAGTTCCTTTTCACACCTGCCACTGATTGGTAATGGTGTCCGTTCTCTCACGATATGGTAGGAGTGGGCCTGTCACTTGAGAAGCTTTCCTCCCTTTTTTGTGACATCCTTGCTTCCTTACCTCTTCCCCTCAAGGACAGAGTCTGTGGAGGTCCCTGTAACTCCCAATTATTCTGGTCCCAGGTATTCTCTGACCCAAATATTCTCATTTCAGGGACAAATATTATTGAGACAGCCAGCCCTGGGTCTCAGACTCGCATAGGGTGAAAGTGGACTCTCTCTCTAGTCCTGGGCAGCTAGGGTTGTTCCTCAGCATTCTGCTGTCCTAGAAAACCTCAGCCCCTGCCAGCCTGTACCCTGACCCCAGACATACATTTACTGCCCAGATGTTCTGCCTGCACGACGCTGCTGACCTTGCATGTTGCAAGGCTGAGAGAAGCCAAAATGGGACCTCTGTTCCCTACCCTCACACTCTCCAACCACTTCCCAGGTGTCCCCCATGATTTCTTCTCCTGCTTCTGTCCTTGCCATCAGGTTAACATCTTGCCCAGACCCTAGAGGGCAATGCTGGATGCTCACCATGGGGCCAGGGACAGAAATGCCAGCAGATTTGGTTTCATCTCCGTAACCGTAAGCCATTTGAGGAGCAAAGTTCTGCAGGGAAGAGAGAGAAGGAGAAGGTGTGAAGAGACTGCGCTGAGCTCATTGTGAGCTGGGGAAGAACTGGGCTGACGTTCTAAAGACAACTCACTCCGCCAAGGCCAGGAGGGCCTGGAGGTCCTGGGAGTCCAGGGAGACCAGGCTGTCCGGGAATGCCATCTCTGCCAGGTGGGCCTGGGAGTCCCTGGAAGAGAAGATGACAGAATTCAGAGGTTAATGTCACAGTCAGGCTGTCCCAGGCTGATCCACAACAGTTGGGCAGCAGGGTGCCTGGAGCAGGTCTGAACGTTCCATCAATGGATTTTAGATTTGGGATGAAAATTTTGCTGGAAATCCTGGAATTTTATATTTCCATGGAATTCCCCCTCTGTGCCCCATTTTCAGACCAGTTCTAGTTAACATGGGCTGCAGATACCTACCCTCTGTCCTCTGGGGCCAGTGTCTCCCTTAGGACCCTGGTGGAGAGAAAAGAAAGGTGTTTAGAGAATGATCAGAGGGAGAAAGAAGACATTAAAGAAAACAACAGGGACTATGCTCCCATAGAAAAATTATGAAGTATAGTTACCTCTACTCCAGTGGATTTTGGGTAGGCAGAAGAGCCTGTGAGGAAAGAGAAGACATAGGGTCATTCAGGCAACCTGTATAACCATCCCCAGGCATT